CGGCTGTCAGGTGGGGCGGCCGCCAGACCGGAGAGGTAACAGAGGAATGAGAATTGAGGGGGAGAGGGGGATACGGATAGGTTTATCCTGAGGATAGCAAGGACGGGGAGGAATGTTTGGATTTCATTTCCTTATGCAATGCTGTGCAGTTTTAAAACAAACTTATGAAATAACCATTTTCTCTCTCCTCTGGAAAAACGGAAACTTCCCATGGATTTCGATTTTCGGGCGCCGTGGGGGGGGGGTCGGAAAGTTACCACAAATGACCCCTCCTCCAGCAAGGAATATTTCAAGCTCCCGGCTTGTTTTATAAGGCCTGCTTAGTAAATTGTTTTTTATTGAATCGAAGCAAGATCAAATCGATTTCATTTTGTCCCGTACTACCGCTGCACTACCACTACCCTTAGGACAGATGGCGTTAGCTACCATGTGACACTCCGTGACTCCTGGCCTCAGGAATGAGCTTTCAAATAGATGACGCTAGTGTTTCAGGCCAGATAGGTGTGCACTCTGCGAAGTTCGGACTGTAAGTCAATATACCCTGGTTCGGACGATGACACACATTTTCGGTTGAACACAGGTCGGTAATTGCCTCAACATTTAGACCCGTGAACATGATTTTTTTCAACATTTGTTGAGCAACATCCCGAAAAAATGTGGGCTTTGGGAGGGAGCAGGCGGGCCTTTTCGAGGAGACAGAAGTTCCGTGCCGTTGTCGAATCTCCAGACCAGGTCTTTCACATTGAGCTTCTAACCCGTTTAGCTACGCCTTTTTTTCGTTCTCTCATCAATGGTTTTATTTTATATTCAAAAATGATTTTGAAAGGCCACGACATTTTGTGTCAGACAGCGGTTTTATTCATATGAGCATCATATGAGCAGGTCTACATTTTAGTAGTCATGATCAGGTTATGATCACCCGTATAAGAAAGCCATTTCATTTATATTTTCTCAACATTTTGTGAAATGATGGTCAGCAAATAAAAATAAGATTAAATTATGATCGTGATTGGAATCGAATGGAAGCCAAAATTAGGAAATTGAGACGAAGCTCCCGAGAAACTTGTGTTTGTGTAATGGCAGCGCTGTAACTTCCTTTTGTAACCATGGCTCCTAAGGCTAAGGCAGGAGGTAAATATATACTATTTTTGGTCCTCTGACCTGTTTGTTTCACAAAATTTTATTATTGACAGCTTCACCTCTGCTTATCTAATTTTCATCGAAACGGGAGGACGTATTTTAAACTGCAATTCGTACTTTTGCAGGTTACGGTGGGCTAGGGAGTGTCTGTGTTGCGCATGATCTGTATTTAAATAAGTAATTCTACCTTTTTTTGCTATTGTTGTTATACTGTTTATTCAATTGAATGCCTTCATTTACAATTCTGTTCAAAACATGCAAAGTTAAGCTTAAGACCAGGCAAAGCAGAAAAGTCGTAGCTCAACGGGTTGGAGGTCCATGATTAGCAAACAATGTGAAAACTGGGCTAGCTCTTTAAGTTTGTTTTGCTTGTTTAGTTGATAGATAATTAAATATTTCTATTTAATGCTTTTATTAAGTAGGAATTACACATGGAATTCTTGGTGGTTTGGCATTATTACTTATAGATACCAAATTGTTTCAGGCAAGAAGAAGGTGGCCCCAGCCAAGAAGGCTGAGGCCCCAGCTGCCGAGGCTGCCCCCGCAGCCGAGGCACCCAAACCCGCTGAGCAGCCCAAGAAGCCTGCACCCCAGAAATCAGCGAACAAGAATGCCAAGAAGGGAGCAGTCAAGAAGGCTCTCTCTGCACAGAAGAGGGTAAGCAACAAACAAGATTGTATAGTTATTATTGTTCTGGGTGTGTATTGCATTCTTAGAGTAATGTCTACTTAATTATTGTATCATTGATCCTGTATGTAAGTTACCTTAAGTCACCCTAAGTTTTTTCATCAGTGTTGCAGTGTACAAGATTCTATTCCTTAAAAGTCTGGTAGAGTAGCTGGTATTTTGATGTGTCCACATCATTTTTGCTGTTCTGCCTGTCTTTGAATGAAAGTATGGTTATATTAAAAGCTGGTTTATGGTTGGTGTCAACATAAGCTGGTTTCCATTCAGATGCTGATTTGGTGTAGGTACCTACTACGTACACATGTGGTTGTCTTTTGTAGTTTCACCTCTACACATTGTATTAAAACAATGCAAATATTCCAAAATTGCTTTCCTGACAAAAGGTCATTTCTTCCCTGCTCTTTTTCACCTTACATTTCATGAGGTACCAAGGTTTGCAGCTAATGCCATTCTACATTTACATTGCATCATGTCCTGCATGTAAGTTTCAGCTACATCTATTGAACCACTTTATTACACCATTACAGATTGTCAAGGGACCCAATGGCACCCGGGTGAGGAAGATCAGGACCTCCGTCAAGTGGAGGAAGCCCAAGACGCTCAAGATGCCCAAGAACCCCAAGTACCCGCAGCGCTCTGTGCCCAGGAGGAACAGGTGAGCTAGTGATGGCAATGGGGATCAGGTCTGGCACTTGTTCAGTCTATGTTCTAAATCACAGTCCCTTATTTTGGGTAATCAGGCAATTTGTCTGTCCTGTAGCTTAGTTGGTAGGGCATCGGACTCCCGGCAGTGAGAGCCCAAGTTGGAGACGCTCCGGCGCTCGATATTTGAGACTCCTGACGGGGATGGTCTGCGGTTGGTGGGAGCAGCCGCAGCCATTTGAAGGCAGTTAGTGGGACAGGCCGTGTCCGGCTTTGAAGGGCACGTTAAACTTTGGTATCTAAATTCTCCCGGAATTGCGCGATCGGAGGGTAGGGGTCGGGGTCTCCGGTCTACACAACAAGCTATTTTTTTTTTTAAAAATTAAATGGCGTGTTACTGGTTACAATTTACAACACATTATTGCAGTTATCCCTCTCACACCACGCTCCCTGCATCCACATCACCGCACATCCGCATTGCATTGCAATTAATTCGCTTAAACGGACCGATTTCGCACTCGCAAAATATCAAACTGGTGTTTGCTATCGGCTGAACGCAAAAATGGCAGATTGTTGTGTACTGTGCAGGCAATTGGATGTGTCCCATATTCTCTTAGAGTCCCTTGGTTTGTTGGCAAGTAGCCTGGCTTATTTAGCTTAGACTTTAGAGTTACCAATTACATGACTATCCGAATGTTATTGTCGTGCTCAGATACTTTCGGATGACTTTCGGGCCACTTGCTTACTAAGTCAGCTGCTTCATCCACTGTAAGATGATGGGGAGTATCATGACATCGTTAGTTTTGCGGCACAGCAAATTTTAGTTGAAATTCATTCCTTTGAGCAGGGCAGGGCAATGTCTCGTGCTTCATTGACCCGATGGACACTCTTCAAGCCCGCTCGTGCTCTTTGGTAACACCAACCCCTGTTGTGGCTTAGCTCCACGGGTATGTCACACAGAGTGAGCTTGGACGGTCGTATTTTGGTCCATGAGGGGCACAATCTGACTATTGCAGTCATACTTTGGCTCAATGATCGGTCCGATGTTAGTACCCATCATTGATTTCATTGGTTTAATGTGTTACAGATGATGTATTTGTTAGTTTGTTTTATGGCCAATGGCTTTGCATCGGATAAGTGGTCAAATAAAGTACCAAGAGATTATTTGACCTTATGTCAATTTTTTTTTTTTATTTTAACCGAAGTTTTGTATGAGGAAAGAGATTTTCTATGGCATCTTTGGCAGTATCTATTTACTGCATCTTAGCCGTTAATGCTATTTTACGTTTTTCTTTCTTTTTTCCCACAACTGTTTGTAGTGGATGGTGTACTATAGCACATATTTTTGTGCATGCATTCTCCGCCCGTTCGAGCTCGGTCCCAGACACCACTGTCGCGTATCCCCGTGCCTTGTTAGCTACAAATGTCTGTTACACACTGACCGGCGCTCCGCTCCCGTCAGGATGGACGCCCACGCCGTCATCAAGCACCCGATGACCACCGAGGCGTCGATGAAGAAGATCGAGGACAACAACACGCTCGTGTTCCTCACCCACCTGCGCGCCACCAAGCGGCAGATCCGGTCGGCCGTCAAGAAGCTGTACTCGATCGAGGTGGCCAAGGTGAACACCCTGATCCGGCCCGATGGACAGAAGAAGGCCTACGTCCGGCTGGCCTCCGACTATGACGCGCTCGATGTGGCCAACAAGATCGGTATCATATAAACGGCGCACGCGAATACACGGACGGTCGCGACCAGGTGTGTTTGGGTGACGGGTGGGGGAGTGGGTGGGAAAGAGGCTGCTCTGGTCTGGGAGTGGGTCTTCTGCGATTGCTGGCCAGACAGGTGAAATGAGCCCTGGTTGGTTGTGCCGATTCCAACCGTTCGCTTAGCATAACACAGCACATTGGTTGATCACCGCAAGCGGATTCAATGACAGGGAAGTGGGTCGAGGAAGCGAGTGAGCGAATAGCGAACTGCAGCTTGAACGTATTCCACTAGACCGCCACGGCCTGACCCTGACACCAGTCAGTGATACACCACGCAGAGGGACACAGTTGGACTTCACTTACCCAACGCATGGCCATGATCAGGATCAGTGAAGTTTTTAAAGTTACTGACTGCCGCACTTAGTTGCATTAATCGTACGGTCAGTGAAAGTCAACGTACATAACTTAATTGTTATTTTATTTGTGCTATTGCTGATCTGAGCCGTTGAGAGCATGTTTGAGTCGTGTTCGAAACCGCTTCTTTTTCGAAGATGATCAAAACGAAAATTTCCATAGCGATTACTCGAAAACACATCCACGGTATGATCTCAGCATGAAGGATTTGCTGGTTTCAACGATAACAATATTGGATAATTCATAATTGGTTCTGGAACTTCCAATAGTAGAGACGATGTAGCAAAGCTAGTAGAGTTATTTACATCTTCACCACGATTCATATCAGTAAGCAGCACGATCACTATCCATGATTGTGACCTAAATAGGTACAAGAGCTTCGGCTTACGTCAGCATAAACATCGAACCTCGTTATCCTATCTTACAATATATAGTATTCATAAACCAATAAGAAACTCGTCAATGCCAACAGTGGCCACGCCTACCTACCATGTTCTGGGGGCAGCGTTGGTGAGGCCTAATTCGCACTATTGCCATAACCTCTGAAATACGTGAAAACACAGCTGTCCCTAATCACCGCCCCCTGAGTCACCACCGAAGGAGCCACCATCGGAATGGTCAAAGCTGAAACTGCTCCGTCGGCTACCGCTGGACCTGCTAAAGTTGTGGCGGCTAGAGCCGCTGAACCCACCCCCGCTGCGTCCTCCCCCGCCGCTGTCTGTCCCTCCTGTAGCTCCGGTATGGCCTCCGTGTCCTGTGTCATGGTCTCCGCTATGACCTCCCCCATGCCCCCCGCTATCGTGACCTCCGGCCGCGTCCTGACCTCCGTGTCCGCTGCCCTGACCTCCCGTGTCGCCGTTCTGGCCCTCCCCTCCGTCTCCATCCTCCTCGTCACTGCTGTGCCCATCTCCTCCGCCGCCTCCCCCTCCCCCTCCGCCAGCCTCTCCACCTCCTCCTCCGCCTCCTCCCTCTCCTCCCCCTCCCTCTCCCTCTCCGCTCGGCACATCTCCGCCGCCGCTCGAGTCTCCGTCTCGGTCCCCATCTCCGTCGTCGTCTTCGTCTTCCGAGGCGCACCAGTCACACTCGATCAAGCACCGGCAGCCGCAGCAGCACCAGCGCTTCCACCACGGGTCGCGGTTCCGCCGGCGCCGCCGCTTGATCTTAGCGCCGGCAGAGACACCTGGCGAGTGACGAGGCAAGCTGGAGGTCCGGCTGGTGACGACAGGCGGCGTTGTACCGGCTGCTTCGTGATTCGTGCTGCTAACCATCGTACATACCTGGAGGTGAAAGAGTCTGTGAGTGGAGGGGCTGTGCCCGGCTTTGATGGTCACGTTCGACTTGGGCACCAAAGCTCTTCTGAATACCCAATTACCCGGAATATCCCAATCAAATTGTAGGAGTCCGGGCCTGCGCTACAAGCTCTGGTTTTCGCTAGCTCTGGCTTCTACTTAACTCAGCTTTGGTCTGGAATGTTGCAACCTGTACGAGAAGTACCGAGACCCTGTATTGCCCAACAACTCCTATCGCTCGTTGGAACAAGGACATGAGCTGAGCTTGGCCCGCTGTGATTGACTGAGTATTGAGTAAGCCATATTGAGCAATGAAAATGGGAATCGCCTTCCCCATGCACACGGACATTGGACACTACAATTGCGTGTTTTAAATTGATTGCAGCCGATACAAAATACAAAATCCCATCTCAGTTCAAGATGGATACGTAAATCTATTACCATCAATAATCTAACTCATCGTCTCGGACATTCCGAAAAACCTACGCAAAAATAGGGATCCCATTTAAACAGTTTTTCACCGATCAAAAGCTCCAGTCACGTGAAAGGGCCGTCGAAGTTATGCGACGATGCATGGACGGTGGAGCGGAGCTCAGGGTAGGACAATAGTGGGAGTGGGAACCTTTTCTCACCTAGCTTACTGCCCTGCAGCGGACGAAGCCACTGAGCAAGTCAGCCTGCAGCCAGAGTCCCTCGCCGGTCCTTTTCCCGTGAAGACCGTAGCTCTTGGTTTCTTCAGCTTTGGACTGCTTTCCCTGTAACTGTTGCAACTTCACTTCCTCCCGGCTCCTTCAGCTGGAGATAGTTTCTTCTCTGTTGTTCCAAAGGCCAACAGAAATCCTTCCTTCGTCCTGCTTCAGCTGGTGCGAGTCTTCCTGGCTCCTCCGACCGCCTTTTTTATTTTTTTTTTTTAATTGAACTCCCAGGAATGTCACCTCGTACCTCCCCCCGTATCGTCCCATCCCCCACCCTTCTCTTTCCGAATTCACCGGAGCTCCGTACGCCGTGCTGCTCGAACCCCCACTGCTCAGCTCCCTAACCGGTGTACGCACGGCAGTGATATATCGACAGTGCAGAGTAAATACCTGCACTTAGTGACCCGTATCGGTGCTCGGCTTATCGTGCCGTTGCGCCAGATCGGAGCTACGGAGCCCCTCCCACCATCTCCAGTCGTCACCGGTCACAGTGGTGAATGGAGAAAATCGTTTGTTTTTACTTTACTGGAACTAAACAACAAACAAAAACAGTTCCATTTATAGCTCGCCAGGTTTAAGGAAAAGTGATATGCTTATATATAACAAGCAATACCTAAATGCAATAGCTATTCATGATATTTGTGCCTAATATTCATATACCAGCACCCCGGTCTCTTCGGTACGTAACGTGTAGCTTGCATGTCCGGAATGATGTGTCAGGCAGCACTCGTTCACTGTATGGGCAGCACAGGTGCTGCTTTGAAGACGCGCCCTGAGAACACGGTGAGACTTTGTGATAGGACTGATGAGAGTGTATCTGGCGGTAGTGCTTGAAGTTTGGAGCACTTGCAACATGGTTGCCTGTTGAACTGTTCTATCAGCGTCATAGTTTGGTGTCCACGAAATTGCATGTCTATGGCTAGATTTACCCATCAGACCACCAATGCACGTATGAAGCAATTTTGACGAACAAGCCTCTAGTGTGAGCAGCGCAAAGAAAGTGGCGCAAAGTATGTCATGCACTAATTCAGCGCAAGGGCTGCCGCTTTGTGGCCAACCCCGTTGCATCCACAAGGGTGAGTTTGCTATGCCGTGGCTGTCAGTGCGTACCGTGACTTCGTAGCGACCGGCCCGATTAGGGGCGCGTAGCAAATTGTAACAGACGGACGATAGTAAGCAGTAGCGGCGGAACACCTTCAGTTAAGGTGGGTGGGGGGGGGGGGGGGAGCGGACACTGCCGACTTTTGGTCCCATTCTTTCCGTGCAACGCCCATAGGTCTGATTTTAAAATGCCAAAATCAAAGGGAGTTACGGTGCCCGGTGCCCTCCCCGTTCCGCCGCCTATGACAATAAGACATTCTCGGAAGTCGGAAAACCCACTTCCGATCTTCTGAGGTCGGCTGAATGCTGATATCAGAAGGCTGATTTCATCTCTTCCCCCTCCAATGATTTTAAATAACTGTCTGGCGGTCACGAAACACGGGTGTTACGTCGCATGACTCAAGCGCTGGCCGCTCGCATTGCGGAACAGCATACCTTCAGGCGCTTACCACTGGTGACATCTGTGGGGAAAATGCGAAACTAAGTGTATTGCGGGACAGTATGTCTTCAGGTGCATACCACTGCTGCCATCTAGGGGAAGCTATGAAAACTCAACTGCATTGCGGAACAGCAGACCTTCAGGCGCTTATCACTGCTGCCATCTAGGGAGAAAATACTAAATATTCAGAGGAATGCGGGGCAGTATACCTTCAGGGACCTACCACTGTCATCTATGGTAGGAATTGTCGCCAGTCCAATTCCCAGCGCGTTGAGGCAGACATGACAGATTGTTTCATACCAAATATGCCAATCGTGTTCCTGTTGCTTAGTTTCCGGTAAAAAGTCCCAGAAACTCGGGCGTCAAACATAAATTCGGATAAGCAGCCGCTTGAAGTAGGTACATATGCCTATGATAAACGTCATGTTCCTATGACTTACTTGAGCAATTGTTTTGCAAATGTGCCAATGCTTTTATACATTTCCAGCATTGACACCAGCTCGGATACTGATGTTTAAGCTATTTTCTATACTTACTTTGGCGTCTATTGTCGCCGACCGAGATTGTCATTGGCGCCTAAACCCTCGGGCCTCTCCTAATGCATGCATTGGAGCATAACAAAATGCTCTGATACCAATTTGAATTAATCTTGGAAACATGCATTGTCCTTAATGGTCAATATAAACGCGGTCAGTAGTGAATATCAAATGTGGAAGAATGTTTATTTACGAATTTACCTGCAGATATGCTTAGAGTAGTTATCCGTACCTTTTTATTGTCTTAATCAAACGAAGACACTAAAGTAAAATGAAATACTTAAGTACATGTAGCAACTAGCAAATGCCACGGTGACTTTAAATGCAGTCCTCGGCAAATGCTTACATAGCGGTCCAACTTTGACGAAGGAAGGGGAAGTGAAGTTACCCGTTGCCATTTCCCGTGATATCAAACTGGAAGTATGGGGATTTATATGAAACGTGAACAAGGAATGGCTTTGCCGAGAAATCACCTGCGGGTTTTGCATTTGGTCTGCCGCTGGAGGTGGACATCGAAGCAAAATTCCATAGTACGTTTGATAAATTAGGCTATTACATTAGCTTTCCTGCCTTATTTTAAGTCATTTCTTATCATGATTACCTGACCCGAGGACAAGCTTTTGTTGCATTAATATTTTTGTAAAAACACCATAAATATTTGCCAGAGAACCTTCATTTTTACTTTTCTTGAAAGATGTAATGAAAAAGTATAATGGTTCTCTGTCGGTGCAACGAGAAGAGTTTTTTCTCTTCAGTTTTTGACTATATCGTTCAAATTCTTTTCCCCAGGACAGATGATTGTCCAGTGACTGATGTCGGAATAGCAAGTTTCAACAATGTTTATAAAACCAGATTCGATCCAAGTCCATCATATTGTGATGTGAATGTGTTTCGGACAGCCTTTTCTACTTTAGACAGTGCGTCTCGCCAACAGTTTGATTCCGACGAATTCGAAACGAGCTTTACACCGACACCGTGTCCTGAAAGTGATACGTTTGTTACAAACTTTTACCCGGAATATCTCGGTATGGCATTTCGACGACAAAATTGCCGCAAGAAAGAATATCTTTACGACCAGAAGCCTTTCTTCAATGCCATCCCGTCTTCAAGAGGAGCATTCACATCACCTGGAATCATACAATCAATTAAGAACTGGGTGAGTACCTACTAAGTAGAGTCACCGTTTTCCTTTTGCAAAGAGAGTCGTCAATGCATGCTCGTCTTGCGTGCCATTTTAAGTTTCTATTTTTCGTTGTGTCTTAAGCTGACTGTTCCCATATAAAATGTTTAAACTATATACAAATTCAACGGGCCTGAAGTTAGATATCATTCATAACATCGTGCCTAGGCATTTGAAAAGATAATAGGCATGTTTTATGGTGGCTCAGCCCCATGCCCTCTGCGGTGTTTGTGGCGGTTCAAATGCCAGACGAGTCCGCTTGCCTCCCAATATTCCTGCGGCCGCTCTTTTTCAGCATTGTGGCGTCCGATCCCCCCTGCCGATGGACTAATCCCGGTGCCCCGTCGCAGTAGGAGCTGTTTGTCCCTCCCACTGGACTGCCACCGCCGCCATTAGTTGCAGTAGCACTGTTCGCCCCTCCGAGTCCCACTGGACTGACCCCAGTGCCCGTTCCAGTACTCTGGCGGCCGGTCGCCGCCGCCGATGCCCAGTATCGTCACAGAGCCGGACGACATCGACTGCCGGTGTCCGGCGCGCGGCTCGCGGCTGCTGCAGCTGCAGACCTGGCTGCTCTGCTCGCCTCTGCCCAGGGCGGCGCTGGCCCTGCTCGCCGCCAGGGGAGTGCTCTACCTGCTCGGCATCCGCGTCTGCTTCGTCAAAATGGTGTGAGAAGGAAAAGGAGGAGGCGTTCTAGAATCACCCGGCCAGCATTTTTCTGTTGAATACGGAATAGATGCAGTTACTTGAGGGCAGGCCTCATTCCCCTAACTTTGTCTCCGATGTGAAATATTGTCCACTAAGTCGGAGATAATAAAAAATTTAGTGACGTATATATTACGGGTGTCTGGACCGAAATACAAACGCCGTCATTATGTTTTCCAACTGAATTTGATGCGAGTCGAATGATAGAGCAACTGCAGTACCTAAGGTGTGCAGCGTGCACGATTCTTATTTTCATTTTACAATGATTGGTGCCTGTGAGTTATCTATCATTCACTTATCAAAGCATATTTATGGATTGCTAAGCATCACAGTATGTAGCCAAGGACGAGGTAGTTATGTAGCTGTCGACGGATTAATTTGCAAGTGCAAATGATAACTCTCGAATGTTTCATTGTCAGTGTAGGTATGCATGACTGTCCTGTGGCATTGCGTGAAATGCCTCTTGATATGTTTGGCTTGCGTTCCTTTATCGCGTGAGCGTTCCATCAAAATAAGCATCTCGTACAGTTATCAGATGTATTGGCACAGAGGTTGGCACATTACAGTCGATATCCTATGCAGTTTGCCACAGCCCAAATTCAGGATAAGTTCCACTACGATTTCTGACATGACGACAATATTGAATGCCCATTGCCTATCTACATGTGCTTCTATGTCGTACGATGCTTAGCACTAGCATAAATAGGCCACTACAGATTCAAACTTGGCATCTAGGAAACAAGGCGCTAGCTATGACAGATTCTAACTACGAGGCTATTCGACAAGACAGGACAAGCAGCGTGTTTGCCTCCAAATCAAGCTGGAACTTCCATTTTCGCGTACCTAATAGCGAGCGCGGAAGCTGCGCACAGCACGCCTTCCAAGTAAGAAAGCGATACAAGGTGCATAATTCTGGGCTTAGGCGTATTTGCCTTTTCCGCTGTACTTGGGAAGTGTGCTATAGGTGGACGATCCGTTGCCACCATTACCTCCGTTACCGTTTCCGTTTCCATTGCCGTTTCCAGCGCCATTGCCGCCATTTTTGCCTCCCTTTGTATAGATGGGATACGTTGGGTTAGTATGGGGTACAGTGTACCCATTGCCGTTACCATTACCTCCGTTGCCGTTGCCGTTTCCTCCGCCGTTGCCATTGCCGTTTCCGCCATAAGTTGTTCCTGTGGAGTCGCTATAAGCGTACGAACTGACATCACCATATCCACCGCCGTTGCTACTGCCGTTGCCGTTGCCGTTCCCATTAGATCCGTTTCCGTTGCCATTTCCTCCACCATTGCCGCCATTTTTGCCACCCGTCGCATAAGTAGGTGTTCCGTACGAGTTGGAACTGCCATATCCATTGCCGTTACCATTTGCTCCTCCGTTGCCGCCGTTTCCTCCATTACCGTTGCCGTTTCCTCCACCATTGCCGTTTCCATTTCCACCATAAGCTGTTTTCGTTGAGGCGTCAACATACGAGTACTTATTAGTAGCAGCGTATCCGCCTCCGTTTCCTCCTCCATTTCCGTTTCCAGTGCCTCCGTTGCCGTTGCCGTTGCCGCCATTATGGCTATCCTTGACATAAGTAGGATACGTTGGGTACGAGTGAGAAGTGCCGTATCCGCTTCCTCCATTTCCTCCGTTGCTGTTTCCGTTTCCTCCGCCGTTTCCGTTTCCTCCGCCGTTTCCGTTACCGTTGCCGTTTCCACCATAGGTTGTTCCTGTCGAGGAATCACCATACAGATGCTTATCGGTAGTGCCGTAGCCGCCACCGTTTCCACCACCGTTTCCGTTGCCGTTACCTCCATTGCCACCATTGCCGTTTCCAGCGCCGCCATTTCCACCATTGTTGCCTTTATTTGCGTAAAACGAATACGTTTGGTAGGAATGGGATCCGCCGTATCCGTTTCCATTACCATTACCACCGTTTTTACCATAACTTCCTCCATTGCCGTTTCCGTTTCCACCGCCGTTTCCGTTGCCATTGCCAGTCCCGCCATAGTTTGTTCCTGTAGTGGAGTCCCCATACGGGTACTTACTGGTGGCACCATAGCTACCACCGTTTCCTCCGCCATTTCCGTTTCCGTTGCCGTTTCCTCCGCCGTTGCTGTTGCCATTACCATTTCCGTTATAGCCTGTTCCTGTCGAGGAGTCGCCATACGGGTCCTTAGTGGCAACACCATAGCCGCCACCATTTCCTTTGCCGTTTCCATTACCGTTTCCTCCGTTTCCGCTGCCATTTCCTCCACCGTTGTTGCCGCCGTTACTTCCGTTGCTGTTGCTGCCATAAGCTCCAGTTTGAGTGGAGCTGTCGTATGCTGTGTACGTGGGAGGAACGCCGTATCCACCACCATTACCGTTACCTCCTCCGTTCCCGTTCCCGTTTCCGCCATTTCCGTTCCCACCGTTTCCGGTTTTAGTGGAAGCGGCGTACGTCGAGTACGCATGAGGGATGTCATACCCGTTGCCGTTGCTCTTGCCACCACCATTGCCGTTACCGCCGTTGCCGTTGCCGTTACCGCCGCTGCCGTAACCGCCGTTACCGTTACCGCTTTTACCGTTACCGCCGTTACCGTTACCGCCGTTACCGTTACCGCCGTTGCCGCTAGCGCCGTTGCCGTTTCCGCCGTTTTTACCGTTGCCGTATCCTCCACCGATGTTTCCGCCGTTGCCGTAGCCGGTACCATTGTTTCCACTGTTGCCGTTTCCACCGCCCTTTTTTCCTCCGTTGCCGTAACCAGCACCATTGTTTCCGCCGTTGCCATTTTCACCGCCATTGTTTCCGCCGTTGCCGTAAGCACCAACATTGTTACCGCCAGGGGTCCGTCCGCCTGGGTAGATGTTGTAGTACGCAGAGCTTACAGATCCTGGCGGTTTGCCGTTTCCAGGCGACTTGTAGGTGACGGCGTAACCGGTGGTCCCGCCGTTTCCGCCACCGTTTCCATTCCCATTTCCACCGTTTCGTTTCCCACCGGCAGTGGCTACAGAGGAGCGGAAGATTGCTCGGTCTCCAAATCTAGCAGCGCCTTTGTCGGCGAGGCAGACGCTCGCCGACAGAACGAGCAGCGAAATCTGCAACAAAATTGCATGGCACATGTCAGTGGTTGTTGACTTGTGAAAACCCGCGCCCCAGGGGGGGGGGGGCTGTTCATAGCCCCCCTCCCGTTTTTGTGCAATAGGTAACTTGCAAACCGCCTGACGTATCGACGCCAAACTTTCAGTACCTTCAGCTGCATCAATTTGACACCTTTTGTCAAAGCATGAAGTTCGTAGCTACCATAAGTCGGCCGGAAATGACGTCATGTAGGTACGGCCTATTTCGACGCAAAACATTGAACCGCGGTAATCGCTCCCAAGAGCTCAGTTTTTAAACTAGATCCAATTTCTTTGCATGAGAGGACCAGAATAAACTGCGCTATCACACTGCTCTCAGGGATTTTAAAAATGTTGAATGTTTGGAAAATCATATATATTAAAATTCATAATTTATATTTTTATCTTTTTTTAATTTCGTTTTTGACTTTTCGAAAAGAAACGGAATATATGTGATAGAACACATGCTTATGACTTACCCTAGCAAGTTTTAGCCAGATGCCTTCAAAAATGGCCAAGGTAGGTATACGCATTATAGCAAAAATTCACAACTATAAACTTTTCAAATCAATTTTTCAGTACGTAGTTGACTTCGTACACCAAAATAAATAGCACCATCGTGTTCCTGAGCTCAATCTGCATCCGATAGACACCTTTTTTGTTTAAAAATTCTAGCTATAAAATTTGACCTTTTTACCTGAAAGTGGCCTGACCTAAGCTAAATGCAACTGAAAATGACCTCGAATGACATAAACGACATTGATTCAAAATTTATGGCTTAAATGGACCATAAAACGTGTCACGCGACCGATGCATGATATAAGATGTCCGTGACCTGTGATGACCTGACCCTGACCTGAAAATCAAAATACAAGTTTGGTACCCTCAGGGTATCTAAAGCATCTGTTCACAAGTGTGTAAACCAAAAATGAGCCTGATCTGACTTGTAAGCCGGCGGCCAGTGCCCAAAATGCGAACAAGCCAAACATTGATAATTTTTTATTTTGACCTGACCTGTGACGTCATCGGTGACCTCCAGGTCAATGAAATTAGGTTTTGCTCGACAGTTTCTTCGGGGCTATCAGACGCCGTTTGAATTTTGACGATCGGCCCAGTAGTTTCGGAGTTAGGAGGGGGGGGGGGGCTATGAACAGCCCCCCCCCCCCCGTATGGCGTGTTAGATCCAGACCCCAGTGGGGCGTGGGATAATTCAGAGCTACTATATTATAGTGTCCAATACATTGTTTCTGCCCAAAAATGCAAAGAGGCCTAATGAACAGCCTGAGTCTTATCACATTGGTATAGTTACCTATATTATTCCAATCTGCACGTCATGCAGAGAATGAGTAGGTACCGCAATTGGGAAATTAGCTGTCAGTCAGTGTCACTGACGACCCTTGCAGTACGTCATTGCTCAAAGTGAAGTAAATAAAGAGTAATAAATTCCATCATTGTTGCCAAAGATATAATAAGGCCACCCAAGGCAATAACATGAAAACGTTGAATTGGAAGTCCCTCAACTCTTGCACTGCGCATTTGATAGGAATGCAAGACACGGAAAATTATGCCTGTCACCGATGACTCCTGCTGAGTGCTGTTCGTAGACCTATTCTAACTGCTCGCAAGATGACCCATCCAACCAAGTTCAGAAACACTTTATCTATTGCAACCAAATACAATATATTACTAAGTGCTCGAGCGAGGAACATATTGAATATAATTAGATAAATAAAAGAAGTTGACCTTTTCCTCGACATCAAAAATGTAAAAAGCCGAATAATATATTTTAAAAAAACGGTTTTAAAAAAACCGTTTTTTTTAAATATATTATTCGGCTTTTTACATTTTTGATGTCGAGGAAAAGGTCAACTTCTTTTATTTATCTAATTATATTCAAATACAATATACGCAACTACGATCAAGTGAAAAATATACTCTCAATGGATTGAGAAACGTGAGAAGCACATGAGCTCGGGAGTATCTGCTTACCGTGAACGGAGCCATGGTGCTGACACTCTGAAGTCGATGGTGACCGGCGACTGTGTGCCTCCACCACTGCCGGACGCCGTTTTATAGCGGCCACACCGAAACACAGGGGGGGGGGGGACGTCCACCTCACCGGAGATGTAACATCGACTACCGGTATCCAGTGGTATGTTTGTGGCCGGCATCTACATAGGCACTGACCTTTAAAGGTCTCTGTTCTGTTGCTAACCTTTTTCGCCAGCGCGGTCGACACCCAGGATATGAACTAACGACTTGTAGCATTCGGATGCAGAAATGTGAATAACAAGGTTGAAAGACATGCATGTGCTCTGCTGGAACCCAAAAGTTTGCTAGTTGAACTTTGAATGGATATTAGCTGAAATGAACCGTTATCGACAGTTGAACTTGACACTCACATCAAGATCACGTTTAGTCCGAACAGTTTGTTCATTCCTAGCCCTGCCGGGTGTGTAGGGTAGATATTATTGTATTGCTGTTTGTGTTATCACTGTTGTCCCGTACCTACTGCGTGAATAGTGAAATTTCAAATTTGTCTCAGGTCCAGCCTTATTGCTGCCACTACATATAAAGACGGGTATAATTATACCGCGCACGGATGGCGGGTGTCTTCCTATCGAAGTCTTTTTTTCGGATAACGTCAAAACGGCTGCACACAGCGCCTGCAAGTTGTAACTTTTGCATCACTGTTAGGACATCAGTTGCACGTATGATCTTCCTAAAAACCTTGACCTCATGCCCGGAAACGTTATGTCACCATCCTAAGTGAGCACACCTCCAACTATAACTACTGCGGAGGTTAGCATCTCGCCGTGGCAACAATCATCGATGGAAATTTTTGAAATTCATGGAGAGCAATGTTGTATAGAACAATCGTGATAACCCGTTAACTTAAATTCGTCTGTATCCTATTTTATTTTTCGGGTGATTTTTCGACCGACTGCTTGACTTAAGCCCATAAGACTACATTCATGGAGAAAAAATAAAATAAAAGGTGCTGGTGTTCGCTTCTGATGCAAACAGGCTCTTCAGGGATGTGCCATTTTCGGATATTTAAAGGTAGTGTGCCACCTTCCAATGATTTCACATTTTATTTTTCCTAGGATAAGAAGCTTCTGTTTTTACCTAATATAGCAAAAAAAATCAAAAATGGGCCTGGAATAGTGCCTTTTTCGCCTAAAAGTTTATCGGTTTTTCGATATGTATAACAACTGTAGTGGGCTGACCTGCAAACAGGCGTCGGCAACAATCGCGAATGCGGCGCACATGTGACAATAAGCAAAGGTCATTATAGAGTTACGATGTACGGGAATGAGTTATCAGCTGTCTAATCGTAGACAACACAATGTCGAACCTTAAACTGTAAGCCTGTATTGGTATTGTTTCTTTTATTTGGCTGTCGAACATTATTTATGGTTTGAAATATGATTTAATGTAAAATAATTGATATGAAAAAGCCGTCTCTTAAGTTATGACCCCATTTCACCACACGCAAGTGGCAGAAATGACAATGATCAGCTGACGCATTTTTCTTGGCCGAAGTCAGAGCGAGCGGCCCGACACACCACCACCGCACCACAAAGTATGAGCAGAGGCCGCGCCCAAAGCCAGGGCCCCGGTAACGTGAGGTAGCCGAGTCGGGGCAGCGTGCGCTGACCCAAGCCGGGGCCGCGGCTTTGGGTGCGGTCTACCGCATCCCCGCGGGCAGCAGCCCCGGGCTATCACATGACACCGGGAGGACGCGCGGCCCCGGCTTGGGTCAGCGCACGCTGCCCCGACTCGGCTACCTCACGTTACCGGGGCCCTGGCTTTGGGCGCGGTCTACCGCACCACCTAACAGGCGTGTTCGAAACCGCAGGAGATGATGATGAACGGGTTTATCGAAACTTGATTGGATGAGCCTATCGGTAATAGCGATTTCAGTGTGTGCATTTATTGTTCATAGTGGTGTGAAATGTGGTTGGGGTACGACCGACAACCCGTCGGGGCGAATTTCGCACTGGGGTACTCAAAATTTGAAGAATTTAAGACGTTTCCATGAGTTTTGACGGTATGGATAAGTTCTAAAAATCCGGTTCTCCTTATCTGGGCCATTAACTCCATACGGTCCAGGAAAGCTGGCACACTACCTTTAAAGATTATCATTGCTTGGTAATTCATTATTAGCTGCTTCAAGATTCGGTTGTTGTCATGTGGCGTCACTTTAGGGCACTATTACTTTTTAATTTCTTGATCAAAGCAAAATACACGTTTGAATATAGGTAGTATCAATGTGTTCAGCGTAAATAGACGGGTTGACTGATATGCAACATGCTACATGAGCTATTTGGTTCAGGTCATGACCGTGACCTGAGGTCAGCTTTTAAAGTTCAGTTTAAAGGCGATTGTTTATCACTGGACGCCACTCGTCTCGAGAAGAGCGATGGTACTTAAATGGTCTCAATGGTACAAAATGTCACCACGAGATGTTATACAGAACGGATCAGGCTAAATTTAGCTTTTTACCTTTTATGACCACTAAAGGTAAATGAAACATTAGCCTCAGGTTAACCCGCGCCGTGCTGGCTATGTCCGTGAAGTTAGCGTCAGCGACACGCCGACAGCGATGAACATGGCGTTTGATTCAGAATCGCTTCTAGAACAGTTATGAGGTCCATTAGGGAGCAGGAAACACTAATATGACATTTATTTTTCCCTAGCTCCCTTCCTTCATCCCTTAATCTCCCTTAGAGGACGGGGCGCGTCAAAAATGCCTCAAGGGTTCGTCTGATCGTCAAAATAATGATCGCACTTGATTCCTCGGGTCAATATCTAGCAGCAGCCTTGGGTTTCAGATGTGTGCAACGTATCCATTATCCCTTATCCGTCCCTTAAAGGACGGGGCGCGTCAAAAGTGTCTCAATGTTTCGTCTGATCGCCAAAATAGTGGTCGCAGTCGATTCCTCGGGTCAATATCTAAGGCCTCAAGCCCAAGGTTTCGTCTGATCGCCAAAATAATGGTTGCAATCAATTCCTCGGGTCAATATCTATATGTACATACATAGGGTTATCAATATCTATGGCCTCAAGGGTTCGTCTGATCGCCAAAATAATGGTCGCAATCGATTTCTCGGGTCAATATCTATGTAGCTGCAGCATCGGGTTCCAGATGTGTGCAACGTATCCATTATCTTTTATCCGTTCCTTAACCCGCGCATGACTGGGGGGGGGGGGGCTCTATGTACAGAGCCCACTCCCGTTTTTCGGCAATATCTTCTGAACCGGCAATATTTGACGGATCAACACGAAACTTGCGGTATCTTCAGCGTATCAATTAGACACGTTGTTTTAAAAATGCAATTTTCTAGCTACCATAGTCTGGCCGAAAATGACGTTAGAGTGACGTCATGTCGGCCGATTTTGTTGCAAAATAGGTATTGAATTGGGGCAAACGCTCTCAAGAGCTCAGTTTTAAAGCTAGCTCCAATTTCTTTGGATGTGTGGACTATAAATACACGTAGCTATCAACTGCTATCTCGAATTTTCGAAATCTTGAACATTTTGAAAAATATTAATTTACAATCACAAAAAATATATTTTTTGATTTTAAAGTTTTTGATTTTTCGCAAACAACCGGAATATATGTGATAGAACACACAGTGATTAACTACTCTAGCAAGTTTTAGCCCAAATATCTTCAAAAACTACTAAGTTACTTGCATTATTGTCAAAATTTTACGATTTTGTATTTTTCAAAACTATTTTCAGTACGTTTCTGACATCGTACAGCAATATACCTAAATGACACCATCGTGTTCTTGAGCTTAAACTGCATCTGATTAGCACCTTTTTTGTTGCAAAATTTCATTTTCAAAATTTGACCTTTTCTGACTTGAAAGTGACCTGACCTCCGGTAAATTCAGCTGAAAATGACCTCGAATGACATAGACGACATTTTTTTTTTACGGGAACAAGTTGGCACTTCTCTTGATTTTTTTTTTGGCACAACTTTTTAGTATATTCATGCGTATACTCCATTCACACTACATAGATACATTTACACGATACATACACTCTAAAATAACACGATGCACCCTAACACCGATCTACGCTGCGCACGAGGTACGGTGCCAGGTCTGGATCGTCCAGAGGGTCGCGGCTCCGTGGAAGGTCTTGTGCAGCAAAATCCGCCCTCATTTCCTCATAAATCTGTCTATATCTCGCCAGGCGAGCTGAGATGAGGCTGTTGGCGGACTTTGGAGGCGACGGACACGGGTCTCCGGCAGTCTCCGCCTTCTCGCTGCACGGCTGCAGCAGCTGGCGGTCAGCGGGCGGCTTCGTTTGAGACCGCGGCGGCCACTGCCTTGGCTGGTGAGCAGCAAAGTGGGCTGTACCACCCAGCTCCTCGTGATGCCGTTTTACAGACAGACCGGTAGCTGTGGAGAGCACTGAAACGGCGTTTCCTCGTACGACGGCCATTGAAAGCCGTTGCCAGAGCCAAGCAGTCTCCCTGCGGTCGCCTGAGACGTTGGTGAGCCTTGCTCCGAGCTGTTTGACGAATGACCTCGTCGAGGGACCGCAGCTTCCTCCAGTTTCAAATGCTACCGGCTCAAATAGAAAACGGTCCGAGAGGCTCATGTATTTTCTGCACTTCCTTTGCTCGGCGTCTTGGGCGGCGGCTCCGGCAGATGCGGCAGTGGAGGAGATGTGGGATTCGGCATATGTATTTACACAAGTAGCGTCCCACACCAGGCTGGCTCCTTTCGAATACGGGAAGACCGTCATGCCGTCCGGTCTTTTGCCGTCTCCCCTGTCAACTCCGGTGGGTTCCATGATGGACGGGGCTCCAGCTGACAGAAGGGCACGCCGTATGACGTCATTCAGTGCAGTGTGTACATATGTTGTATGGGGCACCACAACAATGCCCATTAGACGACATTGTTTTCGAAATTTACGAGTAAAATGGACCTTAAAACATGCGTCACGTGCATGACTGATACATGATATACAATTTTCGTGCCCTATGATGAGCCTTAGTTCGGTACCCTCAGGGTATCTAAGGCATACCTATATCAAGGAGTGCTTAACCCTATTCCTGGCGGGCTCCGCCGGGACAAGAAACTGGCGGGGGGGGGCCGATTCGGCCCCCCCTTCAGATCTCAAA